CCCTCCTGGACAAAATGAGCCAGCTGCGGGTACATGAAGTCTACGGTCAGCGGACGGTTCTCCGGAACCTCTCTCTGCTTTGTGTATGTAAAAGGAAAGGTGTCCTCGAACACTTCTTCTGCACGAGGGCTGATTTTCTGGGCCAAAAGTGGCACGAGGTGGCGCAAGTAGACACCATGTACCTCCTCCCCCATCACATTGGCCGTATCATGGCCAAGTTCAATCATACGCTCCTCCTTGAAGTCATGTGTAAGAAAGCCCAGGTTGAACTCGGTCCGTGGCATACCGAGAGTCAAGAGAATGTCGGCACCTTCCGTGGCATCCAGCACCGGCTGCGGAGTGACGCCTCCTTGGTAGAAGCCTACACAGTTCGGCAGGTACTCTAGGTAGCCAGCCTTCTGGTCAAATGTCGTAGCAAATGGAAGCCTGCTGGTGGTCAGCATATCCTCCACGACTTGTTGAAGGCCATCCCGGTCGACGAACACCCCAACCAACACCCCCGCCTTTCCTGCACTGTTCACAGCATGGGCCACTTGCTCCACCACCTTACGAAGGGCTTGCTCGTCGCTGCTCGGTGGTTGGTAGTTCAAGCGGCCTGGCACTTCGACTTCTGCCCTCTGCATGTCGAAAGGGATCTCCAGGTAGACTGGCTTTTTCTGATCAAGGGCAACCCACCCGTAGCAGCCAGTCAATGGTGGGAATGGCCTCCTCTGCTGTTTCAATACGCGCCGCGGCCGCGGTGATTGGTGTGAACACACGGATAGTAGCATTCAAATCGCTTCCGACTGCATGATGCAGAAGTAGCTTCTTACCCTCTCGATATCTTGCTGTCTGCGGCGCCCCCGATACCAACAGCAGAGGGACGTGAGCATCAAAGGCCCCTGCCACGGCGTTGACTGCATTGAAAGCACCGGGTCCGTAAGTCACAGCTGCAACTCCGAAGCCTTTCACGCGGCTGTACCCATCTGCGAGGTAGGCCGCATTCAGCTCGTTGCAGGTGCCGATTTGCTTCACTGGGCTTCCTTCCTTGATCAACTCGTCGAAAAAGGGCAACACATAGTCTCCTGGGATGCCAAAGACATGCTGAACTCCAAGCTCTTGGATGCGGGAAATGAGGAATGCTGACACTGAGATCTGCTGCGACATTGCTCTGAGGCTGGATTCGAGCAGAAACAAACTACGGGCAAAATGCGCCGGAGGCTTGAGCCAAAAAT